GGAAAGAGAGAAAGAGGAAGAGAGCGATCGCGAATACTCGCGCGTGTATTAAATTGAATTAATTTTGCCCTCTCATTCCGCCGGTCGTTACCCAGGACGAGATAATTAATTGCCGGTTCGCATGGCGGCCGATAAATAAATCTTTTTAAAGCGGAAACTCGCGTGCGACCCAATAATGTCCGATGTTTCATAAACGAGCTCACCATTACCATTTATTAATTGTTGTGTATTATAAAATATTAATAGCAGAATATATAAAGGGTTTATTGAGGATAAATATCAATCATTATATTTTTTTTTTAAATCTCTTTTTTCAAGAATACAGTTTAATATAATATTATTTGGAGGATTATGATAATATTTTTTATATAGAATTGATTTTCAGAATTGAATTTTGAATAATATTTAATAATCTTGGATCACCGTTTAAAAATATAAATATTATGAATTTGTAAAAAAATTGTTATATATACAAACAGAATATTTTGTATATGTTAGAAATCATTTTTGACAAAATTATCAAATCGGTATTTATAATCTTATCTGACATTTTCGTTTGATTACTACGTAAATAAAAACTTTTGCGGCGCGAGAAAAAGATGAGAGGACAAGGGATTAATGTGGTTTTTTGCGAAGGAAAATATATATGTATAGAAAGTAGAGAGACGGTATATTACGTTTTGAGTCAGCTAATGAGCTTGACAGTTGTTATGTTTCCGTAGAAAGATAACGCTGTGGTTGTTGGATTATCAAATGGATATCTAAAAGTATCATCAAAATCAAACGACGGTTTGATTAAGGCGATGAGAAAAAGAGAGCTTCAGTTGGAAGCTCAAGGGGGCGAAACGGAGGATGAGAGGAGTAGGGGGGCACAAAAGAAGAATTTTGCATGTCTGATTACTTAGAACGGAGGAGGCCTTTTGTAACTTTCAGGACGTTGCTTCCTCGAGGAATCATTCGATGTCCCGACGCGCCTTTATTGGAGGTTTGCGTCGAGATCTTTGTTACGATATCACGAACAAATGGAACAAAGGTGGAAATAATCTTTTGCGAATAATGAAAATCTCTGTGTATATTGAAAATATCAATGTTGCTGATTTTTTAAATCTAGTTTGTCGTAAAAATATTTATGAAACCTTTCATCTTTCTCTTCGTTTTTATAAAAATTATATTCATTGATCGTAAATGGATTAATTTCCAACGCATTTCTAAGACCGCATGATTCCCGGTTAACAGCCCCAGTCGGTCGGCAGAGATTTACAAGCCAGCAGAATGCGCTTGCGGAACTTATCACAACGTCCGATGATAAGGTCCTACTGTCTATTCATTCACCCGTTGTGTGTTAGTCATTTTCTTGCTTCCTCCTTTCGTGGGCCTTCCGGTCTCGGCTCGGGGATCGGGGATGGTTGAAAAGCACCGGCTAAGGTTGTCATATTGCTCCCGCGATCTCGCATCTGAAATTCAAATGGACGACGCGCGCGCCATGACTTTCAAATCTATCGATTAGCGCGGATAGCATACTGCAGGGAGATACAAATTCTCCGGTCGAGATGACGGCGCATATTTATGCGCCCGGTGCAACGCGGCGGTGTGATATACTTCGATGAATAATAGACCAGAGAGATCTGTCTAATCCAATGCCGCTCGCGCGTCTTGATTTGTTAGCTGTTTTTATCGTCGATCGAAGATTATACACTTCGCAAAGAATATAGCGCTTCACGCAGCTCGATTCTTGCATGACCAATAGTAAGAAGATAAATAGGAAATTATTTGCATAAATACAGCAAATTTACGACCTAATGATTAATTGGTACATGCATATAAAACCCATAAAAATTGTAAAATTTGTACAATGTAAACATATTAATGTCATCGTTCAATCATTACGATCTGTATAACACATTTCTGAACTAATTCAATATTTTATTTTTAAAAATCAAAATAAATATTTGCAACGGGCGAAATGCAAGAAAAAAATGCGATTATATTAGCATGAGAGATGTTATGGTGATCTGTACTTTTTGCTGTCGGGAAGAATAAGGCGTCGGCAGAACGAGAAGAACTCGCGAAATAATAATATTAATAAAGTGTAATTCGACGCAATATAATGATAATATGTATAAACTGTAATTATGGTTAATTTATGCAGCGGCATCGAGGCATCCCATCCCGAAGATAAAAACTGCGAGGACTGGCTGGAGGAATCCAGCCTGTTAATCGGTGTTATCCTGATGAGATTTAATCATCGGGTTGAAATATAAACATGTACATTGTCTGATATATTATCATGTATCCTTCTGATGAGTGCATAATTTAGCACCTTGATTTAGAGAAGAGATTTCTTAGTCGACTAATGAATCATTAATAAGCTTTAATGATTAAAGTATTATTTTATTAACTGTTTTGATAATTAAATTATTAGATTATTAATTAAATTTTTCAATAAACGATGTTCATTTTAAATGTTATTTTTTTGGGGCAGCCCCAGCATACTTAAAGAAATTATACATGGATAAATTATTGCACTATTATACATTTAGGTGATATTTCTTGAAAAAAGATCCAAAGAAACAAAATAATTTTCGCGAAGCAACAATTTCTGCAGAAGTCTTCGCATTAAATATAATTCACGCGCAATAAAACTTTTTTGAAGAAAAATGCGCTCAGGTATTGCATTCTTACAGTCGCAGTATAATTCCTGCAAACTTTGACCCATTAATAAGGATAATTTTTTCATAGTGTAACTCTTTACATTTTCCCTGACATTTTCTTTTTCTCTCTTTTAAATTTATATTTTTCTCTTTCGTATATTTATTTTCTCCTTTTTCGGTGTCGCATGATCGTAATAATCTTTCAAATAGCAGCTTAATTTTTTTAAGTATTACTAGCAATATTTTATTTATTTAACGGAAAGAGAGAGAGAGCGTTATTTCTTTTACATGAAAGGAGGTTTTTATATTTATGTAAAATTGACAAAATATATACTGTATTGTATATATATATATTATTATAAGTCGATCTATCATAGAAATATTGAATACGGATGAAATTTGTTGTTACTCAAGAAAACTAATCCTCTCTCTCGAGAAAGTTGATATTTTATAGATTGTCTGCTGTAAATTTCATTGTCTCAATTTGATTATACACTCATAGCTTTAGGAATATTCTAAAACATCCTGTATATGAAAGCATAAAGTAGAATTATGAGGTATTTCATGATTTGTTTTGATATCTTTTGATATATGTATAATATTTTATAAACATTCACTATCCAATAATTTTATTATATTATTTAATTTAATTTTTAATTTAATTTTTAATACTTTTATACACTGAATAATAAACTGAATGATACACGAGTATTGCATCTTGCAAGCAATCAAAAGACGTGTCTGTGTAGGGCATTTACACACTTCCTCAGCCCGACAAATAATTGTTAGAAAACAACATTTGCGGGTCTGAAAAAATATGCGAGGTACAAGTGGCTGAATCGGGAATCGAACCCGAGTCTTTCGCTTTCCGGGCAACTGCTCTTACCACTGAGCTATTCAGACCTCGCACCTTACGCCACTCTAACACAGTACATACGACCCGTGGTGACCCATTGTTACCCGGCAGTAGACCGCCGGAAGTCTGCCGCCCGGCGAACATCGGCCTGGCAGGGGCAGAGGCGCCGAGCGCCCATTTTTAAAACTTAGTTTTTATTTCTTATTATTTAGGAAAAATTTTTTATAAATTATTTTTTAGATATATACTTGGCGTATTTTTTTTATCTTTGTGAGGTTTTTTTTAGTGGGATTTAGTGTGACTGGAAAAAAAAACTTGCTGCGCATTATTTTAATTCATCCAGTTATTGTTTTATTATCGAAAATGTATAGATCTTTTATATAACTGCCCCTTTTTATAAAATAGATCTTGGCGATGGATGCTACCTCAAAAAATGGTCGTGATCTAATCATGTTCGCACGGAATGGTTTTACAGATCAAGTGCGATCTTTATTGCAAGCTGGTGTGAATGCTAATATTCAAACGCAAACGGGGGATACACCTTTGTCATACGCTTGTGAGAATGGTCATGATGAAGTCGTTAAGCTGTTACTGCAATATGGCGCTGATCTGGTATGTTTTATTTTTTATGGATTTAATCATGGATTAATTATCTTAATTATGGATTTGCAAATTTTTTTTTATATAGAAGTACGAATTATCTATTAATTTATTCTGTATTATAGGAACATAGATCAGAGGGTGATAGAACTCCACTTATGAGAGCGTGCAGAGCAAGTCATCTGCAGATAGTTGAATTCCTCATTTCAATGGGTGCTGATGTTAATCGACGAACAAATGATGATCATACTCCTCTTTCATTGGCATCCATGAAATTGCTGCCATTTTGATGATCATGATGCCATTTTGACATAATAGACCTGCTTAAAGCAAAATCTTCCCAAAATTTTAAGGTATGTTGTATTTGAAATATTTAGATAAAAATATGATGAAGTATCAATATTTATATAACTTTCATTAATATGTAATCTAATGTATTATAGGATAACTCCACCATACTGATAGAAGGGGCAAAAAGTGATCAATCTTCAAATTCTCATTCCATGAGTGCCATCCAGAGCACATCCGCATTAACAATATTACCACAACAACAACAGCAGCAGTATAGTTATCAATATATACCTAACCGTCAGCAAAGATGCATGCCAAATCTTCAACTCAAACTTCTATCTCTTTCTTTTTTCTATTCTTTATCTCTTTTTAACTTTAAATGAAACATTTAAAACATTATTAATTATAATATTGTCAATGAATTTTATATAGAGAATCTTGACCTTTTTTAGCTCTCAGACATATATATTCTATTTTAATACTAGATAAAGATATTATACGCAACTCTAGTTTCTAAAATACTATTAAGTAAAAACCAGAAACTAAGTTATTTTGTAGTCACAATAAAATATTTTGAGAAGATTAAACCGTGATCTTTTTGCACACGTAAATGTGTGTTTCCAAAAGAAAGAAATAATAACGTATATATGCGGATTCAAATGCGACCACTTTTTTGAGAGGGTTAATGGCACGCCGTGTGTGAATCACGTATGCGAGCTATATGATAATATTTACTCGTCACCGCCTTGCGCATGCATCGGCGCTCGCATGCGCGCATTTTTTCACCCACGTTGCGCGCAATCAAGAAGTGATACGAGCAGGTACGTATCTACCTACCTACCTACCGCGGTACGTGATCCGCCGCTTTTTCGTCGGGCCACAGCAAGGGCTTCAGGCAGTCCGTGACGAAGGGGTCCAGGGAGAGGGAGATGAGAAAAAGGCGTCAGACGTGAGAGGGCGCATCAGCGGCATCCGTGAAATAATAACGGTGTATATAGAGTGTAATTTAGCTAAACGTATGCAGTGTTGTATTGAAGCTCGCCTTCAAGTGCAGGGACGTGCTAAGAAATGCGCTTTATTAATTATGCCTGTCATAAGGTAATTACGTGTAAAAAGCTTGAAATTATTTTGAATTAGTTTAAAAGTGTATTAAAAATAATTTTCGCGGGTTTACGTCATAAAAAAAAATATTTTTACAATGCTGATCTGATAAAAATCTTTTGACATTTAAAAGTATTTTATTACTTTGATATTTTAGATCCTAAAATTTTTTTAAAAATATGCGTTCTTTAAAAAGATATCGAGAATGATATCGATTTGTAACAGTTTGTCAAATTAAATGTTTAATTT